ATTATACAGTCACTAAAAATCATGAAATAATTTATTTTTGTAAAAAAATACAACCGACTTCAAACGCTCTAAAAAGAATGAAATAATTTCAATAAAGTAAACTTTTGTATTAGGCAAGCTCACGTATTTCAAGTCGGCGCGGCTCAAACTGCAAATATGATTGAAATTAAATATTGTGTTTGTATTTTGAAAATCAATAAATTGTAGCTGGATAACATAAATATATCAAAAACATGCTGAACTGTTTTGTTTATATATTAAAGGAAATATATTCTTGTATTTGATGTTTACTTCAGAATAAATGCATTATGAAAATAACACACACAAATGTTCTATATGAATAGGAAAATAATTTAGTTTGATATTATGATAGGGAAAAGAAGCTAGTTTAGTATTAAAACGTTACTTTTTCAAGTTAGAAACATTTAAATGCGTTATAATCTTTTTAAAGATACTCGTTAATACCACTATAATGCCGATCTCTGATTACGGTAATAAAATAACACTTAACGCATAACTATGAAAAAGACATGCAGATTAACACCTTTAGTTATAGATAGTTACCTGCAATATGGACACCCTCTTTCAATTTTGTATCAAAAATCATCATAGAGCCGCGCCGACTTAAAATGCGTGAGCTTGCCTAATACAAAAGTTTACTTTGTTGAAATTATTTCATTCTTTTTAGAGCGTTTGAAGTCGGTTGTATTTTTTTACAAAAATAAATTATCTAATAAAATTTTTCTTGACCCAGATTTGAAACTTCATTGGACTATCAAATTCTGTGTAACAAAAAGTGAACGAAAATGTCAAACAGTTTGGCGAGTCGGTGGCTTAGTCGGAATCGTCACGGACTTCGGGCCCAAGGCAGCGATGTCGGGGTTCGGAGGATAATGGTCACTGCAACTACTTTTTATGAGTATAGTTCACCCTCCTACTGCACCGGCTTACCACTTGCTTTGCTGGATACCTTCCTCGAGCAGGTCCATATGGTACGCTCCACCTCAGCTCGGAAATCTCAGCTCGGGCTTCAGTAGCTATGTTGCGCCATTGAACAGCGCCGCGAGAAGCACTTGCAGACGTTTAAGTCCTCTCGAGTTACTCAGTTAACTTTTAAAATTTGTTTCATCTGAACAAGGTTTCATACTTCTTACATTCAAATCTATAAAAAAATCTCATGATTAAAATGCTTTAGAAAATGCTTATTTTGAAGTATTTACCAGTCACTACACACTTAAATTTCTACTATTAGCACAAAATTACATCCGTACAAACCCACAAAAACACGAAATGAATAAAGTAACATAAATATATTTTCAATCGGTTAAGAACTAAGCCGACAGTTACGAAGATCCTAAACCCTTAAATTAGTGCAAGGCGGACAGGTAGGACGGTCCTTTAACAGCCGCCAACTTCTAAAAAAAGTTATATTGAGCAGTCCTGGAAAAAAACCGTTCCGTTTAAAATCGTGTAGAATTACAGCACACAATATTAAAACACCAAAAACACACAACCTTTTTATTACTTGCATTAATCATATTTTGGGGAGAATGCTGAAACATTATTCGCCTTTTTCACAATAAAAAAAAAATAATAGAATTGCTGTATATATTTATTGATTAAGGATAAATCTGTATAATTGGTGTCATTGTCACCTTATCTGTCTCATCGTATGGTTACAATATCAATAACATCCAAATATTTGTTACGTTCTTATTGGCAGTACAACTAATTACTAAATGACATGTGTAAGAATTATACTAAACCAGTTTTATAAACAAATCTTCATGGCAAAGGCTAATTAATTTACCTGTCGTGGCACTACTATTAGAGTGTTTTTCATACATCTTAAATTATGTTTCAGTCTTTCATTGGATTAATCATTTACTTAATACACAAGATGGTTTTAATACAATGTATATTACACTAATTGTATTACTCAGTAAACAAATAATACGTTATTTATTTACTTTAAAAAAGTTATTCTACTCGTAAACCTGACGTTGATTGATGGACACACAATTTTTGATGCAAATTCCTCTTTCCATATCATAAATATATATTGGTTCCAACGTTAAACATATTATCATATATGTTTATCAATGTAATATTACATTAATATAAGTCTCCTCCATCCATCTATGAAATTGTTAGCCACAGGTTTTATAAATACATACCAATTTCTATTTTGTACACATATATTTAGATTATCATCCTTTTTTGTTAGTCGCATTAAAACTACAAAAAAAGTTGTTTCTATAAGGGTAAAACGCTCACAGAATATTTTAGTGAATTTCCCATACAGGGTATTCTCATTGTATGAACTAGGCCCGGGACAGATTTTTTTTCGTTTTGAAATACCAAGAGTAAAAAAAAAACTTTCGGTCCAAATTTGATGAAATCTTTAACAAACGTGTAAACCAATATTTGACCAAGTTCGCGAAAGAAAAAGATCGGACTATGTAAATATTATTGGTAAAAATGTGGTTTTCCTTTTTTGACCATGAAATCATAATATTAGAAATTTTTTTTTTCAAAACATTTTGTGGAACTTATAAAACAAATAATTTAGTATATTAAAGCGTTGCACGCCAAATTTAGACGGAGAAAAGTTCAAAAAACCTTTCCATTTAAAATTCCCTATATTTTATTGAGTATTACACTGTGGTTTAATTAGCTTCATTAAGGATATATATATTGTACATTCACCTATTGGGTCTGATGATGTCTATCGATTGGGGTGTCCAATCGAAATCGATCACCACTTACCATCTTTTAAATGTATTTACCGTATTGTGAGTAATCAGTATGAGTATAATATATATTTTTATAGGTGTTATTTGACGTATTTATAAAATTTAAATTTTTTTCATTTCATACTAAACTAGTGAGTTTTTACTATAAGCACACTTTATTTCCATCCCTATAACAGTAAACCCAAGTACCATTCAACCATTATTTTATTTTAAAAAGGGAGAAAATTGGATATTTTATTGGAATGTTTTAGTAAAAATCATTCTATGTAGTCTATTTCTAAATAGTCTGCATGTATGATGCATCGCAGGTTTTTATAAGTCTTAGCCGTTCCACCCGGTGGATGGAGAATTCACGCGCTGGGTTCAAAGATTTCTCCAGTTGTCCAAATCTTGGAGACAATACGGTCTGTCAGTTACTAGATCTTTACGGGTCCCCGGAGGCTGTTGCTTGGTTGTTACGGAGGGGAGGATTTGGAGGGAGGTTTTGGAGGGAAATGCCCGGTTTCCCTTTTACGATATCATGTCTCATTTTACAACTGTCGTAAATGTAACACTGTGCGTCCAGACAGTGTGTTATTTCATTTTGAACGTTTTTCATTTAGTCGACCGACTATTGATTTCCACCAAGAAGTCACAAACAAACCTTGACGTTTTGTGACAAAAATGCTCTACTTGTTGAATTCTTGTTTAACAGATGCATATTATTGGGATTTCAATACTTCTTTGTGCATTAGTTAAGTGTGAAAATACTGAACGCTTTAGCACTTACAGTATTAAATTTGTATTTAAATTTGACAAAAACAAGGAATCAAAATTATTATAAAAAAACAATGATCAAAAGGCGTAAATTCTTTTTTGTAAATCAATAGCAGTACATTGCTTATTAAAATAGTTTTGTTTAATATACGTGTCTCTATTAAAATGGCTCACTATGCTTATTGTTTACTAAATATTTTGAAATTAATGAGCTTTTAATGATATATATCTAAAATAATCTAAATAGATTTTAGCACAAGCACAAGCCCATCTTTTATCCAGTACAAAATGGATAATTTCAAATGCTGATAATAAAACAATGTTTATTAGTATAGGAAAATTGCATCTCGGGTTTCACAACTAAATATATATTCTTCATGCTGTATTTGCTATAATAATACAGCCATTACTATTGATCAAATTAATGTTTATAGGTTATTCTGCTTAGGTTGGTTGGAGAAAAGATATCAAACCTAATCAGTAATGTCCAATAATTCTAGGCATATGTTGAATTAACTTAATATCTATATTGACAAAGTTTAATTGATATGCTCTTAAATTCGCATGAATAGCGTTCCCTGCACACATTTGGAATCGTTTTCTTCCAATTCCAATGAATACATAATTACAAGTATTTAAACTTATTTTTGAGCTGAGTTGTTTGCTATATGCTGTTTATTGCAGTGGATAAGTGAAAAATCAGTGAGAATCAATGAGGTTTGCCATAAATCCCCTTAAAGCTGGACAATTCTTTGATAATCCTTCAAGACATTGAGTCTTGAATGTGATAAGACAGTTGAAATACCTTCGACTCAACTAGGTAAATGTTATTGCCTGTTGTTTTCCTAATGCCCCCCCTTTTAGTAATAAAGAATTCGGTAGTGAAATCTTAGTAAACATTCCATGCCGATTCAAAGCAATACACATTCAAGAACGGAACCGATCAAAAAAGAAAAATTTTCAATAAACTAAACAGTGCACCCAGCCATAACTATAAGGGTTGAAAGGTCAAATGTTCGTAAAAGGTTTTACATGTAGGCATGATAAGAAAACTCCATCAATTTTAAACTTTTATGCGTTGAATTTGTGTAAGCTTTTTCCGTTTTCTTATTTCAATTTTGAAACAGGTTGGCAGACTGACAACTCAGTCAATTTAAATGAATTGTTTTGCTTATGTAATCAAAATATGAATGATTTATGTTTGTTTTAATATTCTTCTATTTAAAATATTAACTTGATATAAACAAGTTTAGAGTCTTCTTGGCGATCTTAAGAACATATCCATATTTTATAACAGAACCTTGGAATCCATTCTTGTATTTTGAATGAATACTTTAATCTTGAATATTGTACCTTGAATCTTGCTTATTACATACAGTTTTTAGATCTGGAACCTAAGAGTTTTATATTGTATATACCTCAAACTTAAAAGTTTTAACCGTGAACCTAGACTGTTTAATATCTTTGTTCATCTATTTCCTCCCCCAGCCACGGAGATCTTGCGACCAACGTCCAGCATGAAGATCAAGTCGTCCACAGTGTCGGGCCCAAACTCCTTCACCTCCAGTTGCCACTGGTCCGATCCCCAGGACTCCATGAGACGTTCCATCACTGCCAAGGTCCTCACCAAGAAGAAGAGGGTCGTCAAGATGTTGTTCGCTGTAGTGGCGGAATTCTTCATTTGCTGGACCCCTCTTTACGTCATCAATACGGTATGTGGTTTGGTTAAAATTACTTTTATTCATTTACTAAGTTTAATGCAGTTCAACCAACTGAGTTCGGTTTGTGAACAAAGATGTATACAGGGTAGAAAAGGGTCTCGGGACAGTTAAATATTTGAAGAAAAATATACAAAACTTGGTACAAAGCTACTTGGCGTTAAAATCGTTTTAACACAATTATTTAATGACGCTACCTGCTCAGGGGTATGGCCCGATAGGAGTAAGAAGAAAATATTGAATGTAAGCAGAGTGTTGTACGTAAATACAATGCCGCAAACTCAAACTGAAACTGACAACCAAGTAAAAAATTGTAGCCGTTCAAATATTGTGCAATTTTGAGTCTACAATTTTGAATCTTTGAACCGCTGCCATTTTTGACTCAGTTGTTATTTTGAGCTCCCATTTGCGGCATTATTAATAATAAATCAAATATAATAATAAATTATCAAATAACAAATACCTATATTTTGATTTACATATCAACCTATGCTTATATGGATTTCTTCAGATTTCTAGCAGGCGCTTCTCAGATGAGGTAGCGTATATTTCATTGTATTGCAAACTCAACGAATCTTTGAACGGCTGTTATTTTTGACTCGGTTGTCCGTTGAAAATTGGGGTCACGGCATTATATTATAAGTACCTTTAATTTGATGTAAATATCAACCTGTTTAAACATTTAAGTTAAGATTTTATTCTAACTCCTGGTGGAACACCCCCCACCCCCTAAGGAGATAGAGTTTCACTGAATAATGTTAAAATTTTTTTTTGCCCAGTTACTTTGTACCAAGATTTATAACTCTATCTGTATTATTTTAGAAATATTTAACCGTCACGGGACTTCCTTCCACCCTGTGTATCTAGCAGTTAAAAAAATATATTTACCCCTCACAAATACTACTATTTTGGAACTATTAAAGACTTCTCGCATTATAAAACGACAATCCGTTAAGTAGATTGATTTCTTTGACTTCACGTACGTACGTAATGTAGACATGTGATTGAATACCTCAAGTATGTTAATCCTCCAGCTCGTTCGCATGTCATCACGCAAGGATTTCCATAATTTAGATTAGAGAATTTCACAGCTCTTAAATCTGATATGAATTACTCTATCCAGTAATTAGTCTACACAGTAATTGGCAAAGCTAATAGCCAGTGGAATTAAATTACTCAATTCATTGAGCCATATTTTACATGCAACACCTTTAGATTGGCCTTTGGTGTGTTTATAGTCATAGTTAATAGCTTAATCCTCGACGTGTTACTTTGTAACTAAATTCATTCGCGACATTTATTGATGGTGATACTCCAAGAGTTTCTTATGACAGTCTGGAATCTAAAAATGTCAATGACTTTCGATTGCGTTGCATATTTCCCCAGTTTCCCCTTAAGGACAATATTAATTACAGGGTTAACTTAGTTTTTTGCAGTTCACCCATAAGAGGCCAAGGAAAGACCTGTAACTACATAAGATATGGTCGTTTCTACTATTCTTAACGGTGTTCTTTAGTGTTAGGCTCAGTTCATGGGTATGTGGTAAGGTCCGTTCGCCTAGGGAACAACAGACGTTTAGTCCTTCAGAAGTGGAGAACTTTTTTCGAAGACTAGAACTCCCTCTACAAAAAAACATATGAAAATTATTTGTTCATACTACTATGCCAGGACACACGCACCTGTTAACGTACTGTTAAGCCTCGTTCACGCGGTGCGAGTTTACAAGCTACTCGCCAGCATGTAAGAAGCCGGCGAGTTGGCGAGTGTGCTTGTATTCGTTCACACAGAGATTGCCCACTCGCCAACTCGCAAACGTGTAGAAAGACGCCGGCGAGTGCGCTTGTAGTCGTTTACACGATGCTTTTTCCACTCGCTCAGTAGCTAGCTTGAACCAAATCCTCCGACATCTTTGAATAACATGCGCACAAGCACAAGCAACTGTGTTCATACTGGGCTACTTTACACGCCTACTCGCTCAAAAGCTGGCGAGTTGGCGTGTAAAGTAGCAGCAGCGTCAACTTTTTCCAGAGCTTTTTTACAAGCAGCTTTCGAGCGAGTACTTCGTTCACACTGAGCTATTTTACTAGCTGCGTGTAAAAAAGTCGGCGTGTAGCTTGTAAACTCGCCCCGTGTGAACGGGGCTTTAGTATACTTTTTTACTAGTCAGTTTACAGTGAAACAAATTGTTCATGTTAAACCCCCTGTTATGCTATCTGCCACTAATTACTGTATGTTACTCACCTAGGTGGCGTTGTTTGCTCCGGCGTTCGTCTACAACAGTCTAGGGTTCGAGACCATCAGTTACTTCCAGCTCTTAGCGTACTCTTCGAGTTGTTGCAATCCCATCACTTACTGCTTCATGAACTCTAGCTTCAGAAAGGCTTTCCTAAAGTTGTTCAAGTGCCATCGCTCTGAGAGGGCAAAACGCACTTTTTGACCCGAGCCCAGGGTTCAGTCACCCTGGGGAGACTCTACGTGTTGAGTGCGGAAAAAGACAAAAGTGTCAAATGTGTGTTTATTACCAAGACTTAAGGTAAATGCACCAGTAGCTGACAGTGCTCCAGAAGCTGACAGTTTGAGTTTCTTAACATTATAATGTGGTCTCTTAAAAATATTTACACATGATTGCATTGTTAGAAGAACATATGTTTATTCTTGATTTGTTTACAAACAAATCAGTGAAATTTAACCCATACTCGCTGAATGGTGGTGGTTTGAAAGCGACCCTGTCTGTACACATACATTTAGTCGATTCCCTTAATGAAATTGTTAAGAAGGTAAGTTTGGTTTTTTTGTCATTTCGCTAAATTTCTTAAATAGTATTAATGATTAGGCTCATTATTTTTTTCAATTATACCTTTGTTGACGATTTCATGATAAAATTGGGGTGTTAGGGGTTTTGGATTTAAAATTATATCAATGTCAGACTTTGGTACACAAAAGCCATACAAGTTCCACTAGCTGACAGGGGATATTTGCTACTTGCACAATATTAAATTGGTTTTACCCATCGAAATTTGCATGCTATTTATAATTTATGTGATCTCACATTTTTATAATATGATTTTAATTTTTTAATTAATAAGCCAAATCATCTTACAAAATATATATATTTTTTAAATATGTATAAAATATATATATATATTTTGATGTAAATATTTTTTATTTTAAAATGTGTAAAATACATTTTCTTAATAACGTTTTACATGATTTTATAATTTAATTATTAAGTTAGATTTTATTCGTCTTATAAATTATAAAACCCTTATTAGGTTTAGCAGCTAGTACATTTATAGATCCAGTGTCAGCTACTGGGACAACTGACAGTCAGCTACTCTGGTACAAGCACTTTTTTCACTGTCAGCCACTGGAACACGTACAAAGGTTGAATTAAGTTTAAAAATGTTATAAAATATATTTAAAAACCCCTTTTTGTATGACAAATTTGAAAACTACACTAAATTTAGAATCACATAAAATCCGTAATATCTCTTTAGTTCCTATTTATTCAAAACCACGGATTATTAAGTGCGTATAGTTTCTTATACTGTCAGCTACTGGTACATTTTGTCAATGTTATTCTCGATCTGTGTTGCGATTTCATGTTCGTTTGGTGTTCCCGAAACAGTGTTATGATCCAAAACACAGGTTTTTTGGTACTCGTTGTATCTTGACAGTAACAGTTTTTATATTAGGAGTAATGAAAATGTTTTTGTAGATACTAAAGCTAAGACACATCCATTAATTCCAATTAATATCCAACTAATTCATCTGTGTTCTGTTTAATTGCATAAATAGATCGAGAAAATTAGGGTGTGGAATTTAGGTAATCCATAATTGTTAAACCATTTATGTTGTCAAACTGTAATGATTGATTGATGACTTTTTCATTGCTGAACCTTTATAAAACTCCATAAGAACAAAACGAAGCTACAGATTAAAAATGGTAAAATGTGTTACCTTGGACTGTATGCCTTTCTTAATTTCATTTTTATTTCTGAACAATACTCTAAAGGCTTTAAACAAAAAATATATTAACAAAATTATTACTAAATCAGGCTAGTTCATCATGTTTAGACGGTTTGAAAGATACAAACACTTTTAAATACCGTTAGTTGTAGAAATACATTTTGTCTGAATCTGTTTTGACAAACACCATACCATCTTTAATTTTAGCGACTTTCCCTATAGGGAAGTAGCTATTACCGTAGGTGGCACGGTAAGACCTAGACCCGGGACCGATTTACTTTTTCATTTTGATGTCCCCAGAGGCCAAAAACACCACTCGTTAAATTTTTTATATATGTATATATATATATATATAGACTTATATATATAATATATATATATATACGTCCGTGAACTATCCGATAACTTGAGTAATTTTTGTCCGATTTTGATGAAATTTGGTTTAAAGGTGTAAAGCGGGATAAACTTGAATGAGTTCGCGAACCAGCACGATCGGACCATGGGAACGGGGCTTTACGGGGGGTTTTATGGGATAAAAATAGGGTTTTCTCACTTTTGACCCTCAAAACACAAAATTTCCCGATTTCTCTTTAGACCTTTTTAAAGAGCTTAAAAAAACAAATAATTTAGTATATAAAAGTATTTTTGTTAGATTGTTAGTAACGAAGGAAATTTAAAAAATTGTAAATTTAAAATTCCCATGTTATTCTTATGGAGAATAGTGTCAAATGTTGTAGTTTGCTTGTTTATGGATATATTTTGATCAAACTTGGCAAATTTATTGATTTTTTACTAAGCTATCAATATTTTACTCAAAAACACACTTTATTAGTTTCCTTGTAGCAGCAAACCTAGGTACTCGTTAAACCTAATGTTATTAAAATATATTTAACTGAAAATCAATTCAGACAAATGGAAATTCGCTTAGTCGGCAGGTTTGCTGCGGCGGGGGTATTTAAATCGTTTCATGTAAAGATTGATAATGAGGTCTTGTTTGTGAATTCCCTCTTATTTATTTGTTTTCCATTTAACTGTAGATGTTTAGATTTCGACCATCATTCAATTTAACAGCATATAAATGTGGTATTTTTAAATGCATTCATAAATTCTTTCATCTTTATTTCCGATATAAAATGTTTATAAGTATACAAAATAAAATACAATATCAAAGTGTGTCAATATCTCCTTTTTATAACTCTTGTAAATAAATCCATGTATATGAGAAAATTAAAATCACTAATTCAAGTTAGCTCATTTTACTTTTGTACCCGAATGTTATTTAATGTGATGGAGTGTATCATTAAGGTACTGTAACAGGATTTAGAATAAATTTAGAATGCATTTTATAATGATATAATTTTATTGTAAGTTCTTGTAAGTTGTAAGTTGTAGTTCCACGCATGGGATCAAGTAGTCAGTCCAAACTATATTTTATTGAGCTGATTTACATATAAAGTTAGCGTTTCTCAAGCAGTTCAGGCAAAAAAAAAATACCAGCTGCAAAAGGTAAATTTTGAAAGTCAACTTTAAAAAAACCTTGGAAGCAAATGACACGTGTCCACCTATTTTTTGCCAACATTGACAATGTGAAAAGGCTGTAGGATTGAAGCCGATTTCCAAACTGATTATAAGTACCTACTTTGCATACCATTTTTCCATTGTACACTATTACTAATATCTCCGTGGCTACTGAAACCTAAGAAGTTCAATTAACAGTTCTGTCTAAGGGACATCTAAGACACCTTAGTCAGTAACAAGACTACAATTGTCGCATCACTCAACCTACACTCATCTTCATTCATCCCGTCGTATGGTCCGCCTTTTCAATTAAAAGAATTAAAGGTTTCTTGCTTGGCTAAAACACACCTTAATTTCTAAAATAAAACGTGAAACCCAAAATTAACAGAATAGCTTCGACAGTCACTTCCTCTCAAAATTATTTTTCCTCCCACAGAAGAATAATGAAAATCCGTGAAGTGGTTGATTCAGAATCTTCGAATAAAACACTGTAGGTTTTAACAAGATTATATCAACTTACAGGGAACCTTTGTGAATCAGAGATCAGAAAATAAACGACAGCTCTTGAAGATTGGCTCTTTGAAATCAAGAGTCAGTATAAAAAATCAGAAATATAGTTATACAATTAATGCTGGCTTCGCAAAGACCGCATAAGTGGATGAAAGCAGAAATTACTTCTCGAAACACCGTTTTCCTCTTTCTAAATTTCCCAGCAATAATTTTGTTGGAACACTAAAGTAATCATAACTTATGCATTTTAGTAAGATGACTATAAACAGATTTTCCAGCAATAAATTTATACTTTTTGTAGTAAAAAAGTCCCCTTCTACCCATATGAACAAGTTTAAGTAATTTAAATATCCATCACAGAAATATGAATACAATGATTTGGTAGCAAAAGTAATACTTTTGTTGACTATTACCATTGACTGATAGTCAAAGCTATTACTTAAAACTATATTTCAATCTATACCTCTAAAATGATGCAAATAATTTAGTGTACAGTTTATATTAATCTATAATTCTATAATGATGCAAATATTATTTTACCTAATTTATCGTACAGTTTATAGTTAACTGGAAACTTTTTTAAAAAGATTGATAAATTAAAGAGCTAAAATGTTGAAATAAGATGAGTGTAAGCAAATATAACTGTAAAATCCTGATTCAACATGTAAACACGGTTAATATTCACATCATTATCAGGTCTGCGAAACTCGTTCCAGGAATCTTTTAATGAATTTAGCATGCCTGAAAATGAGACTCGTAAAAATATTGCATAACCTCATCATTCTACTCCGAGCAAATATCTGGAGGATTCAAAATGTCACTTTTTTGGCACATGTTTTAAGGCTATGAATATAACTAAAAATACTATAACAAAATTCTAGAGATCTATAATTTTTTTCCATACTTTAACTTCATGTTTTGTACTTCTGAAGTACTTAGCAATACAGTAAAAAAATGTTATCAATGATAGTTATAATAATTATGGTTTCTTATTAAAAATGTTAAATCAACCTAATTATACTGCTGAATCAGAGTTAAGACTTTAATTTATTTACATACAAATGAGAGACGAATATTATTTTTTCCTACCACTGCAAGGAAATTATCACATTGCCACCCCTGTAAACGGTACGCAGAATAGCTCATTTACGCTCTAGAGCGGGAATGGCTCATTTACGCTCTAGACCGGGAATGGATCATTTCCACTCTAGAGCGGGAATGGATCATTTCCACTCTAGAGCGGGAATGGATCATTTCCACTCTCAAATCAGCTGATTTTACAGTTGGCGTTTCTACACCCACCACAGCCGCGGATCAGGTACGTTAACAACCTTAACATGACCTAAAACTAAACATAACCTAAACGACGATCAGTATACAACTAAAAGGTTACTCTGTGTTATGATAAGTTAACTGTGATGGTAGGGAAAGTCGTCTGTGTATTCCGAGCACAAACAGTCATTGCCGTTCTCGTCTACAGTTCTCGAGCTGCAATGACGAACTTTGCGCTCTTAATACAAAATTAGCTATTAATACGAGTATTAATACAAGATAAAAAAATATAAATTACGGAGGAGTCTTAAGGAGTCTACGGAGGAATTGAGGAGTCTTTATCATCTTGGCAGAATGGCAGAATATAGTTGTATACAAAATGAGGTGAATCAACAGAAAACGTTTGAACCATAATATTGAAATGATTATAAACTCTGGGTATTCGGTGGTATAGGGCTCGTCTTCAAATTGGAAGATCACTGGTTCTATTCCAAGCAAGATTGTTACCAGATCCAGATTCCATTTGTCATTTGGCAATCAATTAATTATGCTTTCTAGCAGCAGGTCGAAGTTAGATAGTAACAAGACCAGGGTTTGGACCGTTCCAGAAGAATACATGAATAAATCGCACTGGCATAGATGGACACTTAAACAATTGATCTGTGCTGTATGAAGTCTCTATAGACTTGAATATGGGATTAGAGTTACGCAACAGTAACAACGGTACAGACTGTAGACCCCCGAGGTACATTGCGGTGTGTGGTGTCTGCTCCTGGGAATACACGTCCTACTTGGTGATAT